TGACACAGGTTGAGCTGGCATCGATCCTCAAATTTGTGCTGGACAACGAGGAGAGCCTGAATGAGAATCTGGAGATGTTTCTGCAGAGGAAAGGTGAGCGCCGGGCCCTGGCTGCCTGTGCCGTGGCACCAGCCCCGAGTAACAGGGCAAACCTCGAGCAGGCGTCGGGCACGCTTTTCTCCTAGCCGGCACCGATGCAGCACCCTGGTAAGGCTGAAGGGTCAACGTGTCTGCTGATGTAATGTCCAAGCGCCACCTCGGAGTGGGACAGACGCAGTCCCTAACCTTGCGGAGAGCAGCAGTGCAGGATACTGGGAGAGCTGAGCAGTGCTGGCATCATCCTCTACAGCTCCCATGCCAGCAGCACCTAACCCAACCCTTTTCTAGAGCATAAAAACCTTCATTTTTTCCCCCGTTTGTGCTGCTACGAACCATCAGCAGTAACACTGCGCAGATCCCCTCACCCCAGGACTGAGCACTACGACATGATTCCCTGTAAACTCTGAGTAGAGCTGCCTCCTACCTGCTGGGCTCTCCCCGCTCGGCAGCACCCCGGCCTCTGCGGCACACACTGCTGAAACGCGCTTTCCCCGGAGCAGCGAGGCGGGTGGGGTGCCGGCAGTGCCGGGGCAGGACGGGGATGTGAGGCAGGTTGATGGTTTTCTCGGCCGGGCTGATCCATCCCCTCTGGAATTTGCGGTTCCTGCGCATCGGGGATTGCAGCTGCTAACCTGACCCTCCCTTCTGGTATTAACGTGAAGATTGCAGCCTGCTTCTCGTTTGTGATTTCCAGCGCCGCTGTCCTCGTCCAGCGCGTCCAGCAGCAGCTCCGAGGAGCACTCCCCGCTGCTCACCCTCCCGCAGAAGCGAGAGGTGCGTTTCCTGGAGCTGCAGAAGATTGCCTCCTCCTCTGGCGCCAACAAGTACGTGTCCCCAGCCCCTGGGCTGCCCGGGGGGACGTGGGGACGGGGGGGACTGACAGGGTGGCTTCTGGGACCTGGAGATGTCACCGGGCTGCTCGCTGGCTTGACAGAGACCCCCCCTTCTGCCGGGTTGCTGTCCTGTTGCAAACTCCTCAGGCTTGACACGGGGATGTGCGGTGGTGGGGTGAGGTCGGGCTGTAATTAGCTCTTTTTAGCCTAGCTCGTTTCAGCCTAACGAGCACAGACACTTCCCAGAGCAGCTTGCGGTCCTCCCCTGTCTTGGGGTGGGTTCGGGGGGACCAGGCTCGCGCCGCTCATGGGCGTGTCT